CCTTGAGGGAGCATTTGTTACAGGGTTGAGAGAAGATATTAGGGCAGAAGTTAGATTACTGGGCTCAAGGGATTTGGCCCATTGTATGTCTTTGGCCCAGAAGGTAGAAGACAAAAATTTGGCTTTGGAAAGGGTTAGGGGGATGAAGGGCCCATGGAGGCCTACTTCGGTGGGTAGGTTTAGTCCCAGCCCGAACATACCTGTGAGCCCAATGAAGTCTGGACTGAGTGCAAGTGGAGGTTGGAGTTTTTCAGGTTCAAAGCCGATGGAAGGGAACAGAGCGTCAGTGGAGTCCTCAAGAGCCTCTAATTCGGTGACCGGGGGAGGCAGACTGACGGCGGGGAGTTTTCCGGCAAGGAAGGATGGGGGTTTTCGGCGCCTATCGGACACGGAATATCAAACAAAGTTGGAGAAAGGACTTTGTTTCTGATGTGATGAAAAATACCATCGGAATCATGTTTGCAAGGGAAGACAATTGCAGATTCTGATTGTAAATGAAGAAGAAGGGGGTGGGGCCGAAGAAGATACACAACCATGGGGAGAAGCTCAAGACATCGAAGGTATGTTGAATCAGTCTTTAGAACTCTTTCTTAATTCAATGGTTGGGTTAGACTCGGCCAACACTATGAAATTAAAGGGGCTGATTGGCTCCCATGAGGTTGTGGTATTATTGGATAGTGGGGAAAGCCATAGTTTTATTTCATTAGAAGTCGTTTGGGATTTACGAATGCTGGTAGTGGGTAGTAAGAAATTTTCTGTGGTGGTGGGAGATGGACATACAATTTGGGGAATAGGGGCATGCCGAGATGTGATGGTGGAAATACAGGGGATTGTGGCGAAATAAGACTTTTTTCCATTCGACTTAGGCAGAACGGATATTGTTTTTGGAGTGGATTGGCTGGGAACTCTACGAGATGTGGTGGCTAATTGGAGGGTGTTGACCATGAAGTTTGAGTGGCAGAAGCGGAGGGTGACCTTGAAGGGGTATCCGTCTCTTTCTAAGGTCGGGATGTCAATGAAGACGTTATGCAAAACCATGAGGGAAAGGGGACAGGCATATTTGATGGAGATAGAGGCAGAGGGTGAGAGTTCAGCAAAAGGGGTGAACAATGTTGAGTTAATCAGATTGTTGGAAGTTTTTGAAAGTATATATACACCGTTGGGTAGGTTGCCCCACAACAGACAAGGGACCATGCTATTAGATTGAAACCAGGAGCTTCACCTCCTAATATTAGACTATCGTTAAGAATGAGGGCGGTGATCTTCTCTAAAATTGGATTTGAAGTCGGGATATCATCAGATAAGAATGAGGGCGGAGGATACTGAGAAAATTGCCTTTAGAACTCATGATGGACACTATGAGTTCTTGGTTATGCCCTTTGGGCTAACCAATGCCCCTTCTACCTTTCAGTTAGTGATGAATGATGTCTTTAGACCCTATTTGCGCAGATTTGTGCTAGTTTTCTTCGATGATATTCTTGTTTACAGTGATAGCTTGTAGTCTCACTTGGAGCATCTGCGGATCACCTTCACTTTGCTCGAGGAACATCAGTTAGTTGCGAATAAAAAAAATGCTTCTTCGGTCAGGAGCGATTGGAGTATCTTGGGCACACCATTGGAGGCCGATCCGTCCAAGATCAGAGGAATGGTGGAGTGGCCGGTTCCTCGAGATGTCAAGGGTTTGAGAGGATTTTTAGGGCCAACAGGATATTACAGACGATTCGTCATGGATTATGGTAAGATTGCTCACCCTCTTACTAACCTATTAAAAAAAGATGCGTTTGAATGGAATTCTGAGGCGCATGAGGCGTTTGAGGTGCTAAAGAAAGCAATGACTTCGGTTCTGCTTTTAGCCTTACCTGATTTTGATAAACAGTTTGTGGTGGAGACTGACACTTTAGGGGCAGGGCTCGGGGTTGTGCTTATGCAGGATGGTCGACCTTTGGCATACCTTAGCTAAGCTTTATCCTTGAGGGGGAGGGCGAAGTTAGTAAACGAGAGGGAACTGATGGCCATAGTCTTAGCAGTGCAAAAATGGAGACATTACCTCATGGGAATGCATTTTGTGATTAGAACAGATTAGAGGAGTTTGAGGTTTTTGATGGATCAACGGGTGTTAGGAGGGGAACAACAGAAGTGGATAATGGAATTGTTGGGGTTTGACTTTGAAATACAATTTAAACCAGGGGCAGAGAATCGGGTTGCCGATGCTCTTTCTAGGCGGGATGAGTTAACCACGGAAATGGCGGCCATTTCCATGGTGAGGGTTGTAGGGGTGGATGCAATCATGGAGGAGAATCAGGGGAATGAGAAATTGGCAAGGATTATACAATCTCTTCTTAAAGATCCCTCTAGTAAACTAGGATACAGCTTGAAGGGAGGGAGCTTGTGCTTCAAGGACCGGTTGGTTTTAGCGAAGGGATCCTCATTTATTCCTCGATTCTTAAAGGAGTTCCACACTACTTTTGGTGGACATTCAGGGACCTATAAGAGGACATCTTCCGCTTTATATTGGGAGGGGATGAAGAATGATGTGTGTAAGTATGTGGCGGAGTGTGAAATTTGCCAGCCAAACAAGTATCAAGCAATGAGTCCCGCCGGGTTGTTACAACCATTACCGATACCCTCTCGGGTATGGGAGGACATATCGATGGACTTTGTGTGTGGGTTGCCAAGGGTGAGGAACTTGGATGCGGTATTGGTGGTGGTAGATCGCCTCACCAAATATTGTCACTTTCTGGTATTGGGGCACTCTTTCACGGCCAAGGAGGTAGTGGAGTTGTTTGCAAAGGAGGTGGTGCGCTTACATGGATATCCTCGTTCTATAGTTTCGGGCAGGGACCATATCTTTATCAGTCAATTCTAGTCAGAATTGGCTAAGGCGACAGGGACAACTCTGAAACTTAGTTCGGCATACCACCCAAAATTGGCTAAGGCGACAGGGACAACTCTGAAACTTAGTTCAGCATACCACCCGCAGACAGACGGTCAGACGGAGGTCATCAACAGGAGCCTTGAAACTTATTTACGTTGGTTTGCAAGTACTCAACCTAAGCAGTGGCCGAAGTGGGTGCCATGGGTAGAGTATTGGTTCAATACATCTTATCAGTGTGCCGCTGGGATGACGCCTTTTCGAGCTCTTTACGGTCAAGATCCCCCCACATTACTATGATTGGTTGAGGAGTAGTCGCGAGTAGAGGAGGTAAGCTCAACCATCCGGGACAGGAACCAGATTATTGACGAATTGAAGCACCATCTCACCATAGCTCAAGAGAGAATGAAGAAATTCGCTGATCCAAGGAGAAGAGAAGTGGTTTTTGAAGTTGGGGAAAGGATCTTTCCCAAACTACAGCCCTATCGCATGAGATCGCTAGCGCGCCGACCGAATGAGAAGCTGAGCCCGAGGTTTATGGCCCATTTGAGGTGTTGGAGAGGATCGGTGAGGTGGCTTACAAACTCAACCTTCCTTCTGAAGCATGCATCCATCCCATTTTTCATGTCTCACAGCTTAAGAAGGCAGTAGGGTCTACCATTACACAACAGCCCTTACCTACATGTTTAACCGAGGAGATTGAGCTAGCTATCACTCCTAAGGAGGTGAAGGACATCCGTTACTTGCCATATGGAATGATGGAGGTGCTAGTGAAGTGGGAGGAACTGCCGGACTTTGAGAGTTCTTGGGAACCATATGTAGTGATTGATCAACACTTCCCTGCCTTTCACTTTGAGGACAAGGTGCAATTCATGGGGAGAGGGGTAATGTTAGGCCTCCAATCTTGCGTGTTTATAGTAGAAAGAATAGGCGTGGCCGTAGGGGAATAAGCGACAGCAGGGAAAGGAACAATCTCGAGGTAGATTCGGTTGAGAGGGAGTTGAGAGGGAAACCGTTAGGGGAGAGTCAATAGAAGAGCGCCACGTAGATCAGGCGGTTACAGGAGGGAATTAAGGAGGAGAATTCGAGGGAGAGAAGGGGGAGGAGAAGAGCATTGTGAAGGGAGGTTGTTGGTTCCTCGAATTACTAGCAGGGATGAGAGTTTAGCTTGTATGAACTCTGGTTCTTGAGTCATTAGAGAGGAAATCCAAGATTCTTGAGTCTTGTAGCCTTGTTTTCTTTATTGTTCTTTCGTATTAGTTGTTGGTTTCTTAACAGCCTCATATGGCACTTTCCCCTTCTTGGTGTGTCCTTTGCAGAGCCAATGGGGAATCTATGGACCATTTACTGTTGCATTGTCTGGTGCCTAGTTCGGTTTGGCAGAAAGTAATTTTTAAGCTGGTTTTTCTTGGGTTTTGCCAGCTCATTGTAGTTCGGTCTTGACGGAAAGTTTGGCTGGTTTGAATTTGAATAGCATTTTTAAAGTTTTATGGAAAAGTATGGTTCTTCCTGTCTTGTGGTTTTGTGGTCCGAAAAAAATGCGTGAATTTTTTAGGAAGAGGATATGGATATTATTGATCTTTTTGGGAAAGCAAAATTCATAGCTTCCTTATGGGCTGCATCTGACAAAGCTTTTAAGGGTTTTCCGTTATCTTTGGTAGTATTGAATTGGAAGGATGTTATAGGCACTTAAGTTTTGGTGTTTTTGTTTCATCAGAGAGGATACCTTATCCTCTTTTCGTAATTGATTTATTTAATCAATAAAGTTTTTCTTATATTAAAAAAAAAAAATTCTGTGTACTGGACATGGGAAAAAAGTACTTCAATTGCCACTCTCTTAACGAATTTTCTCTAGGCAGTATTGGTTAAATATTGTGTAGATGAATATGAATCTATCTTCTGGTCTTCAGTTTTGCTTTTTGATAAAAGTTGGAATTTCGGATCCCAAGAATAAAGAGAATTGAAACACGTCTTAAGATGACATTTTAATATCTCTGATATGAGTACATAACTCTCCAACATCCTTTGCGTTTATCAATTGATATATATACATACATACACATACATACATACATCTCTATATATATACTCTTTTTTTTTTTAACACTTGCTAGTTAATGTCTTGCAGGTTATATTGGTTCAGTTTCATTTTTAAACACTGTATTGGAAGTTGTTAGAAAGCTTCGCTCTGTGAACCCAAAACTCACATACGGTACATAGATTAATTGATATGTCAAATTTTTATTTCCTTACTGTATTCATAGGCCTTGAACAACAACAACAATAAGTCTTAATCTCAACTTAATTGGGGTCGACTATATGGATTTTCCTTTTCCACGCAGCTCTGTTCGAAATTAAACTTTCCTGAAAGCCTAGATTTAGAATGTCTTTCCTAACTACTTCGGTCCACGTAATTCTTGGTCTACCCATTTTACTCCTAGTATTAGGTATAAGAATGTCCTCCTAAGCATTGGACATGCTCGTACCACCTCAAGCGGGCGGTCTACGTTGGACATGCCCGTACCACCTCAAACGGCCTTCGTGCACCTTATCTTCTATTGGTGCTACACCTACTTTACTACGAATAACTTCATTCCTTATGCGATCCATTCTCGTATGGCCACTCATCCATCTTAATATACGCATTTCTGCCACACTCATCTTAGATATATGTTGTCTCTTAATGGCACAACATTCACTACCATATAACATAGCTTGGCGGATTACAGTCCTATAGAACTTTCCTTTCAATTTAATAGGCATCTTGCCATCACATAAAACACCCGTAGCATTCTTCCACTTAACCCACCCTACCTTAATCCTATGTTGAATATCTTCTATATCTCTGTCGTACTGCACTATATACCCAAGGTACCGAAACTGCTAGAAGCCTCAATATCCACACCATCTAAAGAAATTTCATCACTCTGATTACTTGAGTTACTAAACCTACAATGCATGTATTCAGTTTTCGTCCTACTTAACTTAAATTCTTTAATCTCGAGAGTCTGTCTCCACAGTTTTAACTTATGGTTAACTCTTTCTCTATGTTCATAAACTAAAACTATATCGTTCGCAAAAAGCATACACCAATGAACTCTATATTATATTTCTCTTGTCAGCTTATTCACCATGATGGTGAAAAGATATGGACTAAGAGCAGACCCTTGATGAAGGCCGATCTGAATGGGGAACTCTGTTGTGTAGCCTCCAGCAATTATCACACTTGTGGCCACCTCATCGTACATGTCCTTAATTACCTTGATATACCTCACATGCACTCCTCACATGGAATATCATCTTGCCCACATGCCTTCCATTTTTTCATTTTCTGTAGTGCAGTTTTAACTTCCGAGACTCTGATTCCTCTTGTATACATCACATTAGGTTCTTCTTGTGACCTGAGATCGTCAAACTCTATCGCATGATCATCATTATAAAGCTTCTCAAAGTAACTCTTACACTTTTTCTAATGTCTTTATCTTTTGTCAGAACATGATCCTTATCATCCTTAACACACCTCATTTGATTTAGGTCCCGACACTTCCTTTCTCTTATCTCAGCAAAAGGCAGTTTTCTTTCCACTAGACATTTTATTGCTTTCCTTTGTAAATCATGATCCTTTTACGCATGATATATTTCGCATACTTTACAAAAGATATTCCGTTACATTGACATCTGCAATTCTTCTGCACCAAAGGAAGAAAGAAAACATATCTACGTTTGTGAAGAAGCGTAAAATAATTCGGCGGTGGTAAAAGACGTACGGAATAGTGCACTTTTTTTTTTTTTTTTGGCTGAACAACAATTAATTTCCACCTACTTCGGTCTCGATATCTTTTGAATAACGAACATGCGTGCTCAGTTGCTTCTCACACATAATCATACTTAAATCCCTTCGTCTTGAGAGTCTGTTTCCACAGTTCTAACTTATGGTTAACTACTTCCCTATGTTTATAAACTAAAACTATATCATTCGCAAAAAGCATACACCAAGGAACTCTATCTTGGATTTCTCTTGTCAGCTCATCCATCACGATGGTGAAAAGATAAGGACTAAGAGCAGATCCTTGATGAAGGCCGATCTGAATGGGGAACTCTGTTGTGTAGCCTCCAGCAATTATCACACTTGTGGCCACCTCATCGTACATGTCCTTAATTACCTTGATATACCTCACATGCACTCCTCTCTTTTCTAGCACCCACCATAAAACTTCCCTTAGCACCCTATCATATGCCTTTTCTAAATCTATAAAAGACCATATGTAGGTCCGTCTTGGCTTTTCTGTACCTTTCCATCAACATTCTAAGAAGAAAAATGGCTTTCGTGGTTGATCTGCCTGGCATGAAGCCAAATTAGTTACCTGAGATGGTAGTTGTAGTCCTTAATATCCTTTCAATAACTATCTCCCAAAATTTCATAGTGTAGCTTATTAACTTTATGCTCCTATAATTGTTACAATTCAGCACATCTTCTTTATTCTTAAAGATGGGGACAGTAATACTTTTCCTCCATGCATCAGGCATATGCTTCTTCTTTAGTATCTCATTAAAAAGCTTAGTGAGTCATACAATTCCAACATCTCCTAACGCCATCCAAACCTCTATTGGAATATCAGGCCCACATGCCTTCCCGTTTTTCATTTTCTGTAGTGCAGTTTTAACTTTCGAGACTTTTATTCCTCTTGTATACATCACATTAGGTTCTCCTTGTGACCTAAGATCGTCAAACTCTATCGCATGATCATCATTATAAAGCTTCTCAAAGTAACTCCTACACCTTTTCTTAATGTCTTTATCTTTTGTCAGAACCTGATCCGTATCATCCTTAACACACCTCATTTGATTTAGGTCCCGACATTTCCTTTCTCTTATCCTAGCTAGTTTATATATATCCTTCTCTCATTCTCTAGTCTTAAGTTTCCTATATACCTCATCTAAGTAAGTAGAACGAGCTTTACCAACTTCTCGCTTAGCTTCTTTCTTCACTTCTTTGTACTTATTAAAAGTTTCAACATCCTTAGGTTTTGGTAAATCTTTATATAAATCCCTCTTGGCCCTAATAGCCTTTTGAACTACCCCACTTCACCACCAGGTTTCTTTCCCTGGGGGATCTTTACCTCTAGATTCCCCTAGTACCTCCTTTGCCACTTTTCTAATGCAGCTGGCCATGGCATCCCACATAGTATTTACATCACCTATATATGACCAAGTAGCCTCATCTAACAACTTCTCTTTATAGGCCAATTGCTTTATTCATTTCAAATGCCACCAACGAGTTCGTGGGACGTGGTTTATCTTAGTCGTTCTATTGCAAAGCTTAATGCTCACATCTAAGATCACTAAACTATGTTGGGTGGCTAGTACTTCTGCCGGAATTACTTTACAATTCTTACAAGAGAACGTTCTCTATATCTTGTGAGAAAATAATCTATTAGGCTCAAGTTCCTCCCATTCTTAAAAGTGATCAAGTGAGAATCTCTTTTCTTGAAAAATGTATTTGTTATGATAAAATCATGTCCCAACGCAAATTCCAAAATAGATTTTCCTTCTTCGTTTCGAGCTCCAAACCCAAAACCACCGTGGATCCTTTCGAAGTTTTCCCTATCCTTACCAACATGCCCATTGAAATCTCTTCTAATGAAAATGCTATCCTCATTGCTTATACGACACACTAAGTCATCCATGTCTTTCCAGAACTTGACTTTAGTTTCCGCATTCAATCCTATTTGTGGAGCGTAAGCCCTAATTACATAGATGAACTTATTTCCTAATACCAATTTGAGCATAATAATTTTAGCCCCTATTCGCTTAATCTTAACTACGTCATCCTTCAAAGTTTTGTCCACTAGAATACCAACTCCATTGCGATTCCTTTCCCAACCTATATACCATAACTTGTGTCCTAAATTTTCAATCTCGTTTGCTTTCTCTCCTGTCCACTTCGTTTCCTGTAAGCATACAATGTTAATTTTTCTTCTTACCATAACATCTACTAACTTTATAGATCTACCAGTTAAAGAACCTACATTCCAACTACCTAAACGAATTTTCCTATCATGGGCTAGCTCTGCCCCTTGCACACGTCCATGAATGTGCAAGGACCCCCCTTGCATATTTTTCACCATATCCGGGGCCCGACATGCCACATGGGCTCGCTTTTTCCCCCTGCACACATCCATGAAAGTGCGAAGACCCCCCTTGCCTATTTAACACTATACCCGGGGCCCGACATAGCGCGTTGCACGTAGAGAACGCCCCAACAGATTCTATGTAAGTGAAATCCATGAGAGTGACTTATTTTTACGCTGACCGTCAACCTACCGTAACCCTCCTCCTTTACCCGGGCTTAGGACCGGCTATACAAACGCATAGGCGGAGTTTTCATAGGCCTTGAACATTTCTATTTATTGTTATTTTTTATTTTTTCATCAGTGAAGGTAGTTTCTTATCAAATGTTGAAAGAACATAAAGAGGGCACAATCCAAATACAAGATGTATGCTTACCGATTCAAATTGTACGGAAAAAAATCTACAAAGGATAATATTAAACTCAACATTTACCCCATGACATATTTAAAATTTACGTAACCCTTGGATCAACATCCAATACCAATATGTTTGTTGTGGAAAATAGTAGGCAATCAAAGGATGAATGGTCGGCCTGTTGAAGACTTCAGCTTCTCATGATTCAATCGGTGTCCTTTAACCAACATGAAAGATCTCACATTCGTCCATAGACCATAGCTCTCAAAACATAAAACAAACACGAACAACTTCAATTAACCTAGTCATATATCTTTCTGATTGTACTTGAGTCCACTTTGCCTAGTTCTATCTTGAATCTAACTAATTTTCTATCCTATGAATCTAGAACTATGCTTCTTTCAAAAAACATCTTAAGATTTTAGAACAATATCCTAAATACATGCATGAGCCCTCATTAATCATTATTCCCTTCACCAAAGCTTACACGCTTTCCACTGAGCATGGTTTTCCTCTTAGGAATAATTAAAACATTGACTCTTCTTAAAGGTCAAAAAGGGTGTGCATTTATTTCAACTTATTACATCTGCTGGTAACAAATATATTATGTTGGTCCTAATAACGTTTCACCTTGAGGATTATAGCTAAAGTATGGATATTGTGATTCTTGAATGTAATTGTTCCTCCACATTCTTATGAAGTTTTTGGCTTTTCTGTCCAGTCTGTGATCCAGTGATGGGTGACGAAGGAAAGCTCTATGTTCCTTTAGACCTGGTATCTGTATATCGTGAGAAGGTACATAATCGACATGGCAGGTGTATTGTTACGCATTTGGTTAATTTGTATTACGTCTTTGTGCATTTCAAAATTGAGTTATTTAGATTTTGTTGGTTGATAAGTACTTAAAGTAAGCTTTGATTTCATATCAATATGATACATGGTACTGAAACTCTAACAAGAAAAGGATACTAGAAAGAAAGAACTTGAATCTTTATTGATGAATATAGATCTCAGTACAACTTGCAGAACTTCAAGGGCCTGCTAACTATGAATATCTGCAACTATGCTTTACGTTTGGATCAGATTTACACATAAATATAGATCTCAGTACAACTATGCTAACTATGAATATATGGGTTGTGCTTTTGACTTTTGGTTTATATCCACTTGAAAAAACAGTTGTAGCAGGCCTTTACATCTTTATTTTTGTTCAGTTCATGTGCCAGCCTCTTGATGTGAAATTCGGATTTTGAAATGATATTGGCTGCTGTTTGATGGCATTCTCTGTAATTAGGTTGTTCCAGTGGCTTCAATGTTGACTCCTAACCAGTTTGAAGCAGAATTATTGACTGGGAACAGGTTTTTTCTGATACCTTAACCATATTATGTGATTGGTGAAACTTGTTTACATTTTGTCGTTGGAGTCTTTGTGGAGTTGAACTGCATTGAGGTTTCTTTTCCCTATTAATTTGGAAAGAGAGATGCAAAATGATCGTTTCACAATAATGTTGGGAAATAGAGGCAGCTTCTTGACATATTGGAAAAATTTTCTCTTCTTGGTTTATCTTTCCTTCTTTTTTCTTGTTTATGTTCTTCAATGAATACCTTTCTTAGACACATAAGCCATACAATTGTGTTATAGGCATGAAATTCTCGAGTGAACAATGTTAAAGGATAGAGTCTGATAAGTGTCCTTTTTTCCAGGATAGACTCTGAAAGCAAGGGCCGGGAGGCTTGTAACATTCTTCATGCTGCTGGACCTTCAAAGGTTTATTATCTACCTTCACAAATAACTTGGAACTTGCAAGTAGTGAAAATTGTCATAGCTTCTGCCACAATAACGTCTTGTTTAATGTTTATTCTAAGTTTTGTTATGTTTTCATTCTATCATGAAATGCTTTCAAAATTTTGTGAATATTATGTAAAATGTGAAAATTGAAACGATTTGTCATGAGGTTCCTACAACTCATAGGGAGTTGAACATAACTCATAACTCATTCAAGATGAAAAATTGTAAATTCTATGGAAATAAGTCAAAGAAAATCTTGATTCAAAGTTAACCTAATGGATAATAGCCGTGGCAAAGAATTAGTTAAATTAGTGAAATGGTTATCAGTGCTTGATTTTCCCTTTTCACGAATTGTTCTTGATTGGAGGGATGTGAGTTTGTTTGTTTGTTTGTTTGTTTGTTTTATTGCCTTTTCTTTTCCTCCTTTAGAGCATATATGATCCTCATATCCTTTGTAATTTGTATTTGATTAATTTATCAATACAAGGAATTTTTGTTATAAAGAAGAGAATTATAGCAGAGAAGCTCTGTTTAGTGTCCATACGCTCTGCTAGTTCATTGCTTGAAGCATGGATGGAATTTGAGCTGTAGTAGATGGACTCCTGGACGAAGGAAAACCAATCTGGATATATTATTTGTTGAAATTTTATTCCCTATGGGTCCAGATATTAAGACAACAAAAAATTAGAGTGAAAAATTTTTGAGCCCATGTCATTCCTTTAGTCTAGTTTTGGTGACTTTTGACGAGTTTGAGGTTGTATGATTGATGTTATCTTTGATTGGTGCTGGGTGAACTACCATTAATGATACATTGGGTGTGCCATGTGAGTATGTAATGATGTAACCAATCTTTTTGCCCCGGGGTATCCATGTGTTCAATCTAATCAAAATTGGGAAACATAGAATAATACTAGAAATGGTAAATTCACTCAAATGTGACACAACCAATCGGAGTAAAAACGACACTTTCGCTTGTAACATTTGACCGACTATAGACCAATATAGCTTCAACAAAGAGGAGAGCTAATTCTTACCATTAAGAGGTTGCACTAATCACTCTTAGAATAGGTGTCAATATGTATTTCATTCATGCAAAAAGCTTGTGTATACACTACTTTTATATTTAGTGTTTTATTGAATTTCAGAATATGATGGTAAATTGTCAATTTTCAGGTTGTAATTACAAGCATTAATATAGATGGAAGTCTTCTCCTCATCGGCAGTCATGACAAGGAAAAGGTGTGTTTTCTGTGATTCAGTTGGAGAAAATTTGACTCAAACTTGGTAACTTTAGGGTAGGGGTGGCAATTCATGTCGGCGGATCGTGTTTGTGTCGGGTTGAGGGTCTATATTTATAGAAATGACCCCAACCCTAACATGATCCGCGACACGAACGGGTTGAGAAATCTCAACCCTAACACAACCCGCCATAACACGGGTTGACACTAACACGACCCGCACGAACCCGTTACCTTTGTGATATACGACCCACAACCAACCCGCAACATGCCCAACCCGAAATTAACCCACAACCTGTTAATGATGTGATTTTTTTACTTTAAATCTACAATTTATGCACTAAAATCATATAAGAACAATATAAAATAACCCGTGGCTTATTTTGTTTTTACTCTAACCCATAAAAAATCGTATCGTGTTTGTGTCATGTCACCGTACCTGTATTGCCGGCCCTACTTTAGGGTGAATATATATATATATATGTGTGTGTTTGTGTATGTATATTCTTCACTGTTGCATACAGAAAAGAATATACGTGGGTACTTTGAACTTTTCAACAGAGTGATCTAAAAAGTAAAGTTACTTCTATTTCTGAGTTCTACTGTGGCCATATTGAATCTGGTAATATTTTTCAACAGGGTAAACCTAGTGTTTGAAACGGAACCGTTGACTTGAAAATTCCATTCAATGTTGTTTCTTGTATTGCTTTAACAATAGAAAGCTATGGGGAGACAAAATTTTTCTTTTTATTTTTTTTAATTCTGGTATATTACTTTTATATTATAGATATTATTTTTGTTATGCGGAATAGTTGAAAAAAGAGAGAACCTCTTAAAGAAATGACAAAATTGAAAATTAGTATGGTTTTCTGCAATTAAGTGGTCTTTCTGCCTCCCTTTTTATAGGGCGATTGCATTGTGTGGGACAATGATCAAGTTTTTGGTTTTCCTTTTATGGGTCATTTAATTTACAATGGAAAGCTACAGTTCTGTTTGAAATTGCATGAATCTTTGTCTTTCAATGTTCTGAATTCATTTTAAAGTTCTCATTTTTCACAGAAGACTTAAATCTGACAGGGCAAGCCATCTGAGCAGTTCAAGATTATGATTCCAAGAATTCCAGCATATTTCACGGTATGGGAAATATCCTTGTATATCCTTCTGTATGCAAAGCTTAATTTCATTCCTGCAAGCAAATAAAAGGAAGAGGAAATTAGCCTTTTCACTGTTTGTCTAGAAATTAGTTAATATAGTAATCTAGCACAACCGTCATTTGAAAAATACCAGGTGGGATTTTTGCTTCACTAACACATTGTTTCTTGTCACACCCCCCAAACGGGGTGGGTGACGTGGAGCTCGATTAGGAGTTAATAAAGCAGATTTCCAGATGAGCCCCACTCAAATCCATTAAAATATAAATAAATTACAGAATCCTGAGTCTCTGACAACACACAGGGCTCCACCCACAGGACATACGGTATTGTACATACATGAACATGTAAATAGTCAATTACAACAGACATCAACCACAGTCTAATTAATCCAAATATTACAACAGTTTACAGAATTCTCAATTCCTTACACTTTATTCCAGAGGATGACCACAATCCTCACTTGATTCCAACAGCAGCACAACTCAACTGCTCCGTAGCAAATATCCAGCTACTGTACACCGCTCCTAGAATCTCCTGGGAAGAGTTTAACACATTTAAAACATAAAACGTGAGCGAAAAGCCCAGTAAGATATAATTTGAAATGACTTAAAAGTAAATGAACATATAAATGTGCGAGTAAATAAATAAATGGGTAAATAAATAAATAGACATTCAGTTCCAACAGACAGCCGGAACCTCACATCATTTTTCTCAAAGGAAATATAACTGAAAATAACCGTATTACAGGCTTCAGCAAGTAATTAGTACAAATTACTTACCTAACCAAGTGCCTTGCCTACCCGGACCGAGTTTCGGGTTCTGCCCCCAAGGATGCACTATTCGCATCCTATCTAGGCTTACAGCAATAGACTCTCTTACTAGTTCACAAGATCTCTTAGTTTAAGAAATCATTCATTAACTTTCTGAAATCGTTATTATGACGCCACGAACTATTGGGCAAGCCATGAGGTTCAATGACTGAACAAGCTATGGATTCCATGGACAGGACAAGCCATGGATTCCATAAACTACACAAGCCATGGTTTTCAAAGAGTTTTTCTTTCGCAAACCAACCCCTTTCTTTTAAAACATTTCTAAGGCCAAAATCCTTTTTGAAAATCAAGCTCACAAGGAAAAGGGATAGAAATCCTATCTCGCATTATCAAACCTGGGACTAGCGTTGCCTTTTCCGACTTCCGCTTGCTCAAGCCCCTTCAGTCTGAATCCTCAGCGATCACTGATGCAAGACAACACTTTATGATTAATTCTCATTCCTAAAGCAATCCAATCTCAATTTCCAACCAAGATTTCCTATTAGTGTGCCATAATCCATTTTCATGTTTCAAATTATCATTTTAAGGGTTTTCAATCTTAAAACAAGGATTAAAGATGCTAATCCATTCATCTCAAGTCCCCAAATGAAGCTAATTTGGGTTCTCCCCGAAAACAGGGGTCAAAACAGCAATTTCAGGCCAAACAGGGTCAAACCCCGTGTCAACCGGTCGACCGGTGACAGAACAGTGCATTACCACCGGTCGACCGGTGATGTGCACTCCGGTTGACCGGACAGGTCGACCAGTCAGGCCAATGCAATTCGGTCGACTGCACCGGTCGACCGGTTACCATGTGATCTGGTCAACCAGACCGGTCGACCGGTGGCACCAGCTGCGTGAGAGAAGCTCGTGAAAATCAGTCCAAAACCCTGCAATCTCAGTCCCAAATCGAAATATTTCAAACGAAAACCACTAGATCCGGGTTCTAGGTTCTAAAACAAGTTCCAAGAACCCATGATCTCCAATTTCTACCATAGTTTTACTCAAAAACCATCAATATCCGGTTTGAACCAAAAATAAGTTTTGAAATTTAAAAACTTGAGATTCAAGAGAGGTTCTTTCAGTAATCTTATCTCGAATTCTTCTCTTGACGTTGAAAACGCTTTGAACCTTTCCTTTGGTTCAAGATCCGTTTGATTTGAGACAAAAATGAGAGAGAGGGAGAGAGAGAGAGAGAGCGAGAAAGTGGGAAGGAAAAAAAAAAAAAAAAAAAAAAAAAAAAAAAAAAAAAAAAAAAAAAAAAAAAAAAAGAAAAGGACATGTGTATAATATTTTAAAATAACAGTCCAGAAATGCGTCCATACACACTTCTGGGTTAAAATAAATTACAGAAAATAATTTAAATACCTTGAAATTATTTAAACTCACACGTGTCAGAAACATTTATTAATTAATACTCAATTAATAAATCCAGATTAGACACACTAATAATCTCAATTACATTAATTAATCTTATTTAATTCTTCAAGGTGTTACAGCTCCACCCTCTTTAGGCAATTTCGTCTCCGAAATTAAGGCTTACCTCAAAGTGTAAACAGATGCGGATACTACTCCTGCATTATCATTTCAAACTCCCATGTCGCTTCCTCAACTCCATGGTGCTGCCATAATACTTTCACTAACGGGATCTTACGATGACGCAGGCTCTTTATTTTCCGGTCAAGAATCTGAACTGGTGCCTCATCATATGACGTGTCATACTGTATCGGGACGTCAAACCACTGCACTATAGCTTCCGGCTTAGGTTGACATTTTCGAAGCATGGAGACATGAAACACGTCATGCACGTTAGATAATTTAGACGGTAAAGCCAACCGATAAGCCACCACTCCGACTCGTTGCACGATCGGGAATGGTCTCACATATCTTGGTACAAGTTTGCCTTTCACACCAAACCGAACAACCCCCTTGCGTGGGAAAACCTTCAGCAAAACAAAGTCGCCTTCCTGGAATTCTAAAGGCCTACGCCTTCTATCAGCATAGCTTTTCTGATAACTTTGAGCTGTCAACAGTCGTTCCCGAATCACGGCTATCTTCTCATTATTCTCTTAAATGACCTCCGGCCTAGTACTCAGTCGATCATCTGATTCCAACCAACAAATAGATGACTTACAAGTACGACCATAGATTACCTCAAACGGTGCCATACCGATATTGGCCTGATAGCTGTTGTACGTAAACTCAGCAAGATGCATGTATTTCTTCCAGTTTCTACCAAATTTCAGAATACAAGCACGAAGTATATCCTCCAAAATCTGAATTACCCTTTTAGATTGCCCATCAGTCTGAGGATGAAATGCTGTGCTGAAGTTCAAGTCTGTTCTCATAGCTTCCTGAAAAGTCCTCCAATACCATGCATTAAAACGCGTATCACGATCTGACGTGATAGACAGTGGCACTCCGTGTAGTCTCATGATGTGCTCCAGGTACAATTCTGACAGAAATTTTTGAGAATACGTCGCACGGAACGGTATGAAGTGCACGTACTTCGTCAACCTGTCCACCACCACCCAGATGGCATCGTGCTTCAACTCGGTTCTCAGTAGCCCCATCAGAAAATTCATAGTGATGTGCTCCCATTTCCATCCAGGGACAGGAAGAGGTTGCAATTCTCCCGCTGGCTTCTAATGCTCAGCTTTAACCCAGAGGCAAGTCACACATTCCGAGACATACTCACGAACGTCTTTTTTCATGCATCTCCACCAGTACTGTCTTTTCAGATCCTGGTACATTTTCGTACTTCTCGGATGTATAGTAAACTATTGTGAGCCTCTCGAAGAATCGTCTTCTTTACCTCATCCGCCTTAGGAACAGCAAGACGATTGCGAAAATACAAGGCTCCATCCTCTCGGATTCTCCAATCCTTGAATTGCTCTCCATTCTGGATTCGAATCCAGATTCCTTGGAGGTGTGGATCCTGCAATTGATTCTGCTTAACCTGTTGCACAATACCTGGTGTAGAGCCCAGATTATATACCATAACCTGGTTATAATGTTCGTAGAACTGAAGATTATACTCACTCAGCACTTCAGTCATTTTTCAATCTTCCAAAGCTAATGACGCTAGAGTCCCCGTCGTCTTCCTACTAAGGGCATTAGCCACCACATTAGCTTTTTCAGGATGATATTGCAGAGTAAAGTCGTAATCTTCCATATACTCCACCCATCTCCTTTGTCTGAGATTTAAGTCTTTTTGAGTAAACAAGTACTTCAAACTTTTATGGTTAGAAAAGACCTCAAATTTTACTCCGTAGAGATAACATCTCCATATCTTTAGAGCAAATATTACCGCTGCCAGTTCCAAATCATGAGTGGGGTAATTCCGTTCATGTGGTCTTAATTGGCGAGATGCGTACGCTACCACGCGTCTCCCTTGCATTAAGACACAGCCAAGCCCACTTCCCAAGGCGTCAGAATACACCTCATATGGTTATTCACTATCAGGAATAGTCAAGATTGGTGCACTTATCAGTCTGATCTTCAATTCTTGAAAAGTATTTTCACATTCGGCGTCCTACTGAAATCTGACTTCTTTCTTGGTCAACCGAGTCATCGGTGCAGCAATACTCGAGAAGTCTTTCACGAAACGCCAATAGTACCCTGCAAGTCCGAGGAAACTGCGAATCTCTGCTACATTCTTCGGCCTTTCCCACAGTAGCACAGTCTCGATCTTAGAAGGATCGACAAAGATTCCTTGTCCTGAAATTAGATGCCCAATGAACTTCACTTCTGTCAGCCAGAAGTCACATTTCTCCTTCTTAGCATACAACTGGTGTTCACGAAGAGTTTGAAGAACAATTCTCAAGTGCTGCTCATGTTCTTCTCAAGTCTTTGAGTAAACCAGTATGTCGTCAATGAAGACAATTATGAACCGATCCAAATACGGCCGAAAAATACAGTTCATCAAGTCCATGAATGCCGCCAGGGCATTCGTCAACCCAAAAGACATTACAAAAAACTCGAAGTGCCCATACCGAGTTCTAAAAGCAGCCTTCGGAATGTCCTCCTCCTTAATTTTCAATTGGTGGTACCCCGATCTCAAGTCAATCTTAGAGTAAAATTGTGATACACCCAACTGATCGAATAACTCGTCGATCATTGACAGTGGGTATTTGTTTTTTACAGTTACCCTATTCAATTGACGGTA